AGTTTGATGTCCTATTTGTTGTCTGGCCGATTGTCTGTCTGTTTTTGTCACTGTTTGTCTAGATCCTGGAAGAGGCTACAACTAGAAGGCAACACTGAAACACTCTTGGTGACGTTGGTTGCGAGGTAATCTTCTTCTAATCTAGTAAAAACATGCTAACCCTTCACATTTCACATGACGGACCTCATCAGAGGAGGTTATCATCTTTAAAACAACATTCAAGCTAACGAGACAAGAAAACTTACCAGCCAATGGGCTCAGATATCCTTTTTAGAGGTCTTCCGACTCACAGGCTAGTGTAGCATGGCAGGACACACACACAACTGCCTTCAGGGTCATCTTGTCTTTCAGCGACTGGCCTCGGACCATGGTCCTCTACTGCACCGGCCGCGAGATTCCCTGAATACCACAGGTCATCTCCATGACTTGCAGACATTGGTCTTCCTTTCGAAGTGTCGTCTCATCGGGTCGTTCGACTAGCGTCAAGCGGACGACATCTGAAGACGACTGCAAAATGGTACTGCAACCTTTGACCTCTTCAAGAGGACCTGCCCAGCCCATACGAGGCCTGTAATAGGCACTTTTCTGTCTTGTCTTGTATCATCTTCAGGTCGTTTTGAATGCAGACGCCAGCAATTTGTATTGAATTAGCTGAAGATCTTTTCTATTCAGCACAGATGCTCAAAGCTCTCGTGAACAAGTCGAGATACACTTTGAATTGGGGCTATAGGGAACTTTAAATTATTGGTGACCAATCGGTTTCCAGGCGACTCAATATTTGTTAAAAAAGTTGTGCAATTTAGAGAACATTAAAAATATCGTACTCATATTTGGTAGGTGAATAAACTACAAATAGATTTAGATGAAAAACTGTATTCATATTAGATCGCCTCGAGTGAGGAAAGAATGATATATTAAGTGTGCTCACCCTATTTCGTTTAAGGTGATAAACGACTTGTAGTTAACACTTTCCCTAATCAAATGAGTAGACCCTACTTTTTAATTGAATTTCACATAGTTTTGATTTCTCAAAAAGTATTCTCGTCCAGACAAGCGTTGACTGCAATTGCAACATCCTCAGAGGGACTCGAACCATGACAGTGCAACGAATAGTCTCGACACACTAACAACAACGCCACATTACCACGAGTACTCTTTGGTCACGGGGCGAATGTCGGTTTTAAGAAAGGTAAGACATTTTCCCACATCACATTCTGTGGCGAAATTGTCGATGAAGCAAAATTATATTTACTACAGCAATCAACTACATTATTTATTATTAATTTCGAATTAAGATTTACAGTCAATCAGTTGTATACAGTTTATTTACCCAATTTCGTTTAAGTTGATGAAAGACTTGTAGTTGAATTTTACCACAATTATATGAATAGATCTGATTTTGCATTTCACACTCTCATTCCGGCCGGTTTTTACTGCAGTTTCAATCTCGCCCAGGTCTAATCGACACCTCCGACGGGAATCGTACACAACTGTTAAAATGTTCCAATAATGATATGATTAGCCATTACGTGTCCATTGAATTTTACATGTACATATTGGCCATTTCAATCGATTGCACTACTTATATTCTGATTAAGTAGACTATAAACTATCAGTAGATCGTCGGGAAGAGTAGCGTTCATCCGTGCCGGATAGTGTGATGAAGATCTGATTTATGAATAGGCCTCTAAATCCCATTGACCCTCCCGACGAGCAGGTTTGAAGGGACCAGCCTCCACAACCGGAAAGACTGCAAAGTTCGTTCACATCGTATAGGTTCGACCCCCGCCAAAGTTGCATTTTTTGGTCGGACCCAATGTTATGCGATTTTTCTTCATTCATTCTTCGTGTTCACACTTGTCGTCAGCGCAATATGCTAGGCCGTGGAAACCGTCAAGCCTAGTCTCTAGGCGCTTGCTCGGCCTCATATTGGCTAGAAAAACGGGACTCTATGCTGGAACAGCATCCCTGACCCCCTTCATCCAACTCGGATTCGCGGTCAGAGTCCTGTCAAGCCTGACGAGCTGAGGTTGGCAGTCATTTCGGTTGTGGGGAGACACATTGTTGGCATCTTCTTCTGCGATCGATCTCGAGACCGGTTCTCAGAAGGGGTAGTCGGGGAAGAGGCAGACGAAGCGATTGCGGCTCTTTGGCTTTTAACCCCTTCATGCGATGGCTTGCTTTGTGTCTTTTCCGAGAGCCTAAAAAGTCCTGGAAGTGGGGGTTACTTTCTTGTGCTCAGGCACACAATCCTCCTCGCCTGTCTGGCCTGTTCTACACACCCTCAGGGTCATGTAACATGAGGCAGTTAAAATGTTTCATATACGCTTTTTAGCATCCCCCCGCCCATTAAATAGAAGCCCTTTTCTCCCATGTCTATCTATGCTTTTTTGCTTGTTTAATTTTTCTCTCTATTCTCCTCCACACCCCCGTCCCCCAGAGACCCTAAATCCTACTGTCATGGCTGCTTAATGCCCCATTTCTCTCGTCCTCTGACTCTATTTCCCTTTCTTTCCCCTGCTTCCTGCCCAGCTCTGTTATCCTCGCT